CCTCCTCAGACTGACTCCTCACACTGCCTCCTCAGACTGACTCCTCAGACTGCCTCCTCAGACTGCCTCCTCAGACTGCCTCCTCAGACTGACTCCTCAGACTGACTCCTCAGACTCCCTCATCAGACTGACTCCTCAGACTGACTCCTCAGACTCCCTTATCAGACTGCCTCCTCAGACTGACTCCTCAGACTCCCTCATCAGACTGCCTCCTCAGACTCCCTCATCAGACTGCCTCCTCAGACTCCCTCCTCAGACTGACTCCTCAGACTCCCTCATCAGACTGCCTCCTCAGACTGACTCCTCAGACTGCCTCCTCAGACTGCCTCCTCAGACTCCCTCATCAGACTGCATCCTCAGACTGACTCCTCAGACTGACTCCTCAGACTACCTCCTCAGACTGACTGCATGCTCAGACTGCATGTCGGACAGTCATCTGTTGGGAGCTATAAATCCCTGGCCCCTTAACTTTCTTTGCCTGCAGCTGCTCTGAGTGTGAGACCTTCATGGCAGGCTGATGAGACCTGCAGCTGAAAGATCCCGAGAGCTGGGCGTGGCTAAGGATCCCTATATATGCTGCCGCTGAGCACAATAAAGATGGGCATTTGGCATTCTTGTATCAAGGATGACCTGTGTCTCTGTCTCTGTCTATGTGTTTTTAAGTCTCCAGGCCCAGTTCCCAGCTCGAGTACCAGTCCTGTAATGACATGGGAGCTACAGGACCATCAGTTTTTACAGGAACCTTTAGGTTTTTACAGCCATCGAGCTCTTGTCTCCTCCTGCCTTATATTCCTCTCTGCTCAGCCATATCCCTTCCTGTCTCTACCTCCTTAGTGTGGGGATTAAAGGCATGTGCCTCCCATGTACTGGAATTAAAAGTGTGGGTCAATACCACCTGACTCTGTTTCTCTTTGAGACGGGATCAATTTTATGTAGCCCAGGGTGACCTTGAACTAACAGAGTTCCCTCTCTGTCTCCCGAGTCCTGGGATTAAAGGTGTGTGCCACCACTGCCTGGCCTCTAGTGGCTTAGCTCTGTACTCTGATCTTCAGGCAAGCTTTATTTGTTAAAACACAAAGTATCATTACAGAAGGAAATCAAAGAGAAAGTGCCTGTCTCAACTGACAGGTCACCACCTCCACACAGAGGTGCACACTGAGAACTGATGCCTAGGAGCAAGCTGCTGGAGTCTACCCTGTGAATTCGTAGTAACACGGCATAGGAGAGGGAAAAGACCCTCTAGACTGTTGGGAGGCAATGTTTGTGTCTTTAAGAAGTTTATATTAATGGTCAAAACTGCTCTTAGGACTGGAGAAGGAGGAGGAGAGGGAGTGGGGGGAATGGGAGGGTATTGGGAGGAGGGGAGGAAGTGGAAATTTTTATAAATAAATGAATAAATAAATAATAAAAACTTGCTAAATTAGCAAATAAAACATATTATATATTAGATGATGATAAGTACAATGGAGATTAAGCTGGGATGGGCCAAAAACTGTAGTAATAGTAGAATGCCTTCCAAAGATCTGGATTTGATCCCCAGCACCATGTAAACTAGGTGTGGTGGTACAGGCCTGTCATCCCCACACTTAATATCAGAAGTTCAAGGCCAGCCTAGGCTAGATGAGACCCTGACTCAAAAAGAAATAAAAGCAAGCAAAACAAAATAAAACAAAAAACAGCTGACTAGTTATCCTTTTCTAATATGGAAAGAATTTATAATTCTTAGGCTAGCTTTTAAAAAAGTGAGAATATATGATATTACATTTCTCCATCTACTTTTTTCATGATTTATTTGTAAATTTGACTTTGATGCATTAACTAGCTGTGATATTTGGGTTAGTATACAGCTCACAAACATGGAACTCATTAAGTTTGGAAAGATAGGGGCTAGAGAGATAGTCAAGAATGCCTTTTGCTTTTGGAGAAGACAGGAATTTGGTTCCCAGCAGCCACATTCTGTATTTCCAGCTCCAGACAATCTAGCATCCTCTTCTGGCCTCCTTAGGCATTTTACACACAGACACATAATATCTTTTTAAAGGTGGCAACACAAAGCACCCAACTTTCACTGACTTTAGCATTCACAACACTGTGTACTCAGATATGTCTTTGTCTTGTATATTTCCTTGCCGTTGTATTTGTTTTAGGAACTGCATAGAGTAAGCCAAAATATATGTAAGACTACTTAAGTAAAGCCAGGCACTGACTGACAGAAAATATTACTGTCTAATAGAAACTAGACCAGCAATATTTTTGGAGTGAGAATATTTTATAGCATTCTTTGTCTATACTACCCAGGAACTTTTTGTAATAAAACTAAGTAATATACAGAGTAAGAAATCAGTAACATTAGAAAAGGGAGTTGATCCTACTCGCTTGAATACCATGCATCTTAGATATATTGATGCACACATTTCTGAGTTCTTTTCTTTTTTTGACAACCATTTCTTTTTTAAAAATAATTTATTTTTATTTTGTGTATATCCATGTTTGCCTACATGTGTGTCTATATGAAGTTGTTGGATCCCCTGAAACTGGAGGTACAGACAGGTGTGAGCTGTCGTGTGGAGCTGGAAATTGAACCTGGGTCCTCTGGAAGAGTAACCAGTGCTCTTAACCACGGAGCCATGTCTTCAGCCCTCTAAAACCATTTCTTGATAAGAATTCTAATTTTATAAGAAACATCATTCAATGGTTAAACATCCATACAAAACTTAGATATCTGAAACTTATTATTCTTGTAAAGTTTTAGTTAATTTATTAGTGTATGTTTTTTTTCTACTATGTGGGTTCTGGGACTGGCAGCAATCACCTTTATCTGCTGAGCCATCTCATTGCTCCATCTTTTTTTTTATTTTATTTTTTGAGACTGGGTCTCATGTAGTCTATACTGGTCTTAAACACAATATTTAGCCATTTGAACTCCTAAATCTCCTGCTTTCACCTTCCCAGTGTTGGGACTACAGATAAGTTAATTTATTTTATTACTTGAGTCAGCTTTTGTGGCTTCGACTTTTTTCTAGTGGCCCCATGCAGAGTTTGGATGAAAGCATGATGACACATTGCTTTCTGTTGATCACTTCTCAAAGCTAACGGCCACTGTCTCCATTACTGTTAAGGGAGGTGGTAGACACTATGGTACGACACTTCAAGATGCAGATATTTGGGGATCGGCAGCCTGGCTATGATGGCAAAAGAAACATGTACACAGCACATCCACTGCCAATTGGACGGGATAGGGTAAGTGTTAACAGCAAGAAACTCTGGGTTTTAGTACCTACTCCAGATGACCCAATATTCTCCTTTGTGGTCACTGTTCTTTTATTTGTTTGGTTATTGATTGTGGGGAGACATACACAAACCACAGTGCATGTGAGTTGGTTGTCTCCATCCCTCATGTCAGGCTTGTTGGTAAGCACCTTTTCTCACCGAGCCATTTGCCAACTTCCTCCTCTCCTTGTTCTCCCTTTTCTTACTATGGGGCTTGAACTCAGGACTGCACACCTGCTGGGTCCTTGCTCTACTGCTGAACTACGCTCACAGCCTCCTTCACTTCAGTTCTCAGAGTTGTTTTTCATTGTGATGCTAGATTGATTGCACTTCCCACAATGATTGCCTCTTAGCTAGCTGCAAATGAAAGATGAGAGGAGCACTGGGGCACACTGATTTGTCATCTCTACAGATAGTCTGCATTTTCACACTATACCTAAATATAACAGTGGGATTTTTATTACTTCATTTATGAAAATGATACCACAATATTTTCCTTTTCTTTCTTTCTTTCTCTCTCTTTTCTTTTTTTCTTTTTCTTTCTTTTTTTTTTTTTTTGAGATAGGGTTTCTCTATGTATCTTTAGTTGTCCTGAAACTCACTCTGTAGACCAAACTGGTCTCAAACTCACAGAAATCCACCTACTTCTGCCCCCTAAATGCTGGGATTAAAGGCATGTGCCACCACGCCCAGTCACAGTATTTTCTTAAACATTTATTTTAATAGTAAAAACAATGCTAAGAATGGTAGTACACATCTTTAATCCCAGCACTCAGGAGACAAAGGCAGGTATAGATTCGTGAGTTCCAAGCCCGTGTGGTCTACACCTAGAAAGTTCCAGGTCAGCCAGGATACATAGTGAAACCCTTAGTTAAAAACGAACAAACCAAAAACAAAGAGGAAAAGAAAGTATTTTTTTTTAATTATATGTTTTGTCGGGCAGTGGTGGCACATGCCTTTAATTCCAGCACTTGGAGGTAGAGGCAGGTGGATCTCCGTGAGTTCAAGGCCAGTCTAGAAAATGAGTTCCAGGAAAACCAGGGTTGTTACACAGAAAAACTTTGTTTCAAAAAAAGTATATATATATACATATATATATATGTATATATATATATAAAATATTTTCATTGCATTTATGCACAAGATTGTGTGTGAGTTTGTGCACATGTGGTACCCACAAGGTCAGAAGGCATCAGATTTCCTGGAGGTAGAGTTATAGGGTATTATAAACCCTTTAGTATTCTAAAATTAGGGGGACTGAAATGGCTTGCTGGGTATAATCCAAGCAGAACAACTTGTCTTCAATTCCTGGGACCATAGGGTGGAAGGAGAGACCTGACTTCCACAGGTTGCCCTCTGACCTCCACACACATGCCATACCACATACCAACCCCTAAATGTACATGCATATACACATAAATGAATGAGAAAATAAATAGATATAACAGAACATTTTTATTAAGCAGTTAAGAGCACTTGCTGCTATTTCTAGAACTAAGGTTGGTTTCCAGGACTAACATCAGGCAGCACAGATGCCTGTAATTCAGCTCCAGGAAGTCTATCTTTCTCTTCTGGCTTCCATGGGAACCTGCATTTATATTAATTAATAAATAGACAAGGAAATAAATACTCTAAAATTGACATTTAAAAGTATTTTTTTTAATTTAAAGAGGTAGGATTCGAGAGATGGTTTAGTGGGTTAAGAACACTTGTTGCTCTTGTGAGAACCAGGTTCAATTCCAAGCACCTATGTGGTGGCTCATAATTATCGGTAATTCCAGTTCCAAGAAACCTAGAACCTTCTTCCCAGTTCTTTGGGCACCAGGCATGCGTGTGCTACATACATGTATGCAGGAAAACACCAATACACATAAACTAAAAATCAAAAAGGTAGTTCAGTAGTGTGGCACTTGGCCTCACATGCACGAGACTCTGAACTTAATTCTTAGAACCACAATTTTTTATTGATTTAAATTAACTTTATAAGTAATATGTGAACACATGTACCTTCTACACTTATTAGACAGTTCACAAGAGCTGAGGCTTCTTGGCTTTCCTTCATGTTTGTACCTTCCAATTCCATTTTCCTTGTTAGCCCCATGTTGTTATGTGTCACTTTAGATATTTTATGTGTTACCTTTTTACATATATGTTTATATACATGCTTATTTTTTGCATATCATACTGTGATTTCTTTTTTCATTAAGCAGTTATGTACAGTTATATACACCTTACTCTTTTTTTCTAATTCAAGACAAATGTTTTTGAGCTATGCCTCAGTCTGGCTTGAATTTGTGGTTCTCCTGCATCAGCCTCCTGAGTTCTGGGATTATAGGCATGCATAACTACTCCACTTTTTTTAAGATTTATTTATTCATTATGTATACAACATTCCTTCCATGTATGCTTGCATGCCAGAAGAGGGCACCAGATCTCATTACAGATGACTATGAGCCGCCATGTGGTTGCTGGGAATTGAACTCAGGACCTCTGGAAGAGCAGTCAGTGCTCTTAACCTTTGAGCCATCTTTCCAGCCCACTACTAAGAGCATTCACATTGTCGTGCATCTGTCACCACCATCTATTCTAGAATCTTTTTGTTATCTAAAACAGAAACCTTCTACCCACTACACAGTACTTCCATATTGCTCACTGCCAATTGCTCTTGTAACCACTCCTCTACCTTTTGTTTCTGTAAGCTTGACTGTTCTGAGTACCTCGTGTAAGTAGAATCATCAATGTTTGTCCTTCCATCTCAGGTTTATTTCACTTAGCATAATGTTTGCGAAGTTTATCCGCATTGTAGTATCTTCCTTATTTGTTTTTAAATTTTCATGTATTTATTTATTTGCATGTGTGTATGCATGCATGTACAGTAAACTGCTTCCAGCTGTGGCATGCATGTGGTGGTTAGACGACAACTTGTAGGGTTGGTTCTCTCCTTTTACCATATGGGGCCCCAGAATCAAACTCAGGTCATTAATGCTGGTGGTAAAAGCATTGACCTACTGTTCTATCCCTCTAGCCCCTTATTTTTAATCATTGTATAATATTTTCTATTAAATTATTTTTTTATTTATGAACAATTACTTTGTTTCCAGTGGTCTAAAATTATAAAAAGTATTAAGTATCCATCATGCATATGCCATACGGAATATTCCTGGGGTCTTTCCTACAACCTTTATAAACCTGTTTGTCTGTATGTACTTTTCCCTAGGTTGACATGGAGGTTACCCTCCCAGGTGAGGGTAAAGACCAAACTTTCAAAGTGTCTGTGCAATGGGTGTCAGTTGTGAGCCTTCAGTTGCTTTTAGAAGCTTTAGCTGGGCACCTGAATGAAGTCCCGGATGACTCAGTACAAGCACTTGACGTTATTACAAGGCATCTTCCCTCTATGAGGTTAGTACCCTGTTTTGGATCCCTTTCCACAAATGTCAGTCTTTTTGACAGATTGTATTTAGCCATGTAAAGTTTTCGACATAAGTCACAGTTCAAACTTGATTTCAGTTCACAAACTGACCTCAAAATGCTTTGTAGGAAATATTCAAACCCTTCTCTCTTCAGGTACACTCCGGTGGGCCGTTCTTTTTTCTCACCCCCTGAAGGTTATTACCACCCTCTGGGAGGTGGCAGAGAAGTCTGGTTCGGTTTTCACCAGTCTGTGAGACCTGCCATGTGGAATATGATGCTCAACATTGATGGTGGGTTGAAACTCTATCTGTTAATTTTGGTTTCCGTTTGATTGGTTTGAACCCTTTTCTTTGCCTTAATACTAAGCATCCTTTCTCTGTTTGTTAGTATCTGCAACTGCTTTTTACCGGGCTCAGCCTATCATTGAGTTCATGTGTGAGGTTTTAGACATTCAGAACATCAATGAACAGACAAAACCTCTAACAGACTCTCAGCGTGTCAAGTTTACCAAAGAAATTAGAGGTAGGTATTCCTGTTAATGTCATCTTGGAGTGAGTGCAACACAGTGCAGGTGGTCTGGACTTGAGCCAGCCAGACCTGGCTTCCCTCAGAGTCTTAGTATACACTTAGACTTGAAGATAGACACCAGAATGTGTTGATGCTTATAAAAACTTATTGAATGAACTAATAAATTCAGTTATATAACCAGGCATGGCATTACATGCATGTGATCTCAACAGTTAGGAGGCTATGGCAGAAAGATCACAACTTCAAGACTCATCTGAACTATGTAGAGCTATCTCTCTCAAAAACAAAAATGGGTTGAGTATCATGAATCTTTTTGCCTTTATATGATGAATCTGGCTCCACATTCTTCTAGCTTTTGTCCTATGTTATTGCTTGTGTGTGTGTGTGTGTGTGTGTGTGTGTGTGTGTGTGTGTGTGTGTAGAAACCTTTGTTATCTGCAGTAGGTAAGGAGAGAATGAGAATTCTTTCCAAACTAATGCACTCCTTGACTTTTTGTTTGCGTTTTTGAAACAGAATCTTACTTTGTAGTTCTGGCTGTCCTGGAACTCACTATATAGACCAAGTTGGCCTCTGTCTCACAGACATCTGCCTGCCTTTGCCTCCTGAGTGCTGAGATTAAAGATGTGTCCCACCATGCCTGGTCACTCCTAGACTTTTTGAAGACAACATTTGAATTTGGTTTTGTTACTATGATTTTAATTAAAACTGGTACTCTATCTTTTTTTAAAAAACTGGGACTGAGAATATTGTATACATAATAAATAAATATTTAAAAAAGGGGGTGCTGGAGAGATGGCTCAGTGGTTAAGAACATTGCCTACTCTTCCAAAGGTCCTGAGCTCAATTCCCAGCAACCACATGGTGGCTCACAACCATCTGTAATGAGGTCTGATGCCCTCTTCTGGACTGCAGGCAGACACACAGACAGAATATTGTATACATAATAAATAAATATTTAAAAAAAACTGGGACTGAACAAGCATGGGATCAAACTGGACCCTCTGAATGTGGCTGACAATTGGGGCAGACTGAGAAGCCAGTGATAATGGCACTGGGATTTGTCTCTATTGCATGTTCTGGCTTTTTGGGATCCTAGTCTATTTGAATGCACACCTTGCTAAGCCTGGATGGATGGAGGGATGTGTTGGACTTCCCACAGGGCAAGGTACCCTGCCCTCTCTTAGGACTGGAGTGGGAGGGGGAAGAGTGAGTGGGGGAACAGGAGGGAAGTGGGAGGAGGGGAGGAAGTGGAAATTTTGATTGGTATTATTTATAAAGTAATTAAAAAAAAGAAAAAAATTACTCTTCAGGTCTCAAAGTTGAGGTGACTCACTGTGGACAGATGAAACGAAAATACCGAGTTTGCAATGTGACAAGACGGCCAGCCAGTCATCAAACGTATGTCAATTACATCTAAAATAGTATAGTAGTCACGAGAGATGGTTTATACCTGTAATCTCAGTACTTAGGAGACTGAGGCAGGAGGATTGCTGTGAGTTTGAGGCCAACTTGAGCTACCCCAAGAGACCCTTTAGGTCTCAAAACCTGATAAATCACAAAATGAATGAAAAAAAAAACAACAAAAGAAACCCAAGTTAACAATAAAATATGGTAGCAATTTGATACCTGAGGAAGTTACTGCACGTCACTGGCAAAGACCGTCCGAACACAGTAGTGTGGTTTTGGGATCACAAGAATCTTCACTTACCACAAAAGCTCTAAAAAATATTTATTTATTTATTTATTTTAAATATTTATTTGTTTATTGTGTATACAGTATTCTATCTGTGTGTCTGCCTGCAGGCCAGAAAAGGGCACCAGATCCCATTACAGATGGTTGTGAGCCACCATGTGGTTGCTGGGAATTGAGCTCGGGACCTTTGGAAGAGCAGGCAGTGCTCTTAACCTCTGAGCCATCTCTCCAGCCCCTAAAAAAATATTTTAGATATTTGTTGAATAGTTGTCCATCTTACTTTTTGAACCAAGTATACTAAACATAGATCAACTTGTATTTAAGAATACAAGAAGATGTCATTTCATACAGTGCCTGCTGTATAGGTGTGAGCACCTGACTTTGGCTCCCCATTGCTGACATAAAAGCATGGCATGGAGGTGAACATCTGTCATCCTAGTGCCAGTGGAGAGTAACGGGGAGATCTCCAGAACTTGCTGATCCACCAGCCTAGTCAGAAGGTGCACTTGAGGTTCAGTGAGAGACTCTGTCTCACAAAAGTCAGTGATAGTGATAGAAGATACCTAATGTTGACTCCTGGCATTCACGTACACACACATGTACACATGCACACACAAGTGTATACATATACTACATACATATACATATATATATATATATATCTATATAAAACAAAACTAAGAATTTTGAAAAGAATACAATTGTCATTATTTTAATCCTCAGTACTTGATAACTCTGCTAGGGTCTAGCTATCGTACAGGCTGCTGTAGGAAGACAGATACTGCTTTGCAGATTTGTGTAGTTGTCTTTCCTTTCCTTTATAGCGCATTGTTACTCCCAGCTATTCCTGTGTGTCCTGACTCCAGTAGCGTGTTCCTTTCCACTTACTCAATCTTACTTTTCTAACCAAACAACTTGTAGTCTATTGAGTGCTGTGCCTAAGTGAGAATGTATTTGAAAGTGCCTATACAATTACTATATGACAGATTCATTCTTCTAATCAGGATCACTTGATTTGTGTCTGACACGAAAAAGATATTGGCTCTTGCTAAGTAAATATTGTTAAATCTTTTTTTAGGTTTATTTATTAATTATGTATACAGCATCTGCCTGCATGTATCCCTGAAGGCTAGAAGTGGGCATCAGATCTTACTACAGATGGTTGTGAGCTACCATGTGGTTGCTGGGAATTGAACTCAGGACCTGTGGAAGGACAGTCAGTGCTCTTAACCCCTGAGCCATCTCTCAGCCCCAATATTGTTAAATCTTACATTATTTTGGTTACTTAGGAGTTCTTTTCTTGCTGTTATAACTTTGTGTCCATGGTGTTCTCCCCTCCCCCGTGTGTGTGTGTGCTTGCACACATGAGTGTGCTGCAATATATGTGTGGAGGTTAGAGGAAAATTTTTAGGAGTTGGTTCTCTCTTTCTATTATACGATTCCAGGGTTGAACTCAGGATATTTGGCTTGCAAAGTGAGGATTTAACCTCCTAATCCATTTCCCCAATCTATATATTTAGTCTTGTCACCTCCAAATCACATAATTTGCCCTGGCTTAGGAATCAGAAAACTTGGAAAATCTTAAAATGTGGTCCTAATAACTATACTCTGTTCATTCAGAAAAAACATTGTTTTAAGCCAATAACAGTGTGTAGATGACCCCAAGTGCTTATTTAAATTTACTTGTCTCTGTAGCAAGCAAGATGGGCTGTAGAGAGAACCCAGTGGTTAAAACTTGTTATTCTTGCAGAAGATATAGGTATAGTTCCAGGCACCCACATGGTAGCTCACAGCTTTCCATAACTTCAGTTCCAAGGGATCAGTGACCCTCTACTGACCTCTGAGGCACCAGTCATGCACATAGTGATCATAAATACATCCAGTCTGGCCTCAGACTTGAAGTGGTTCTCCTGCCTCAACCCTCTTGAGTACTTAGGGTTTCAGGTATGAGTCACTGTGCTTGATCTTTTGTGAAAAAATATTAAATTTTGTATTAATTTTTTTTTTGCTTGGCTTCAACAGACATTGAAATTTCAATGGAATTGTTCTGGTACAATACTAAAATGACTTAACTGAAAGTAATAAGACTTTTTTTCTGGTGGTGGTGGTGCTGGGGATTGAATGAAAGGCTTTATGCATTCTGCACATATACCTGGTCACTGTGCTGTATCCCTAGCCCTGACCCTTGTTCATTTTTTTCACAATTTATTTACTTATTTGCATGTGTATGCACACACTCTCTCTTTCTCCTGATTATCCTGCCTCCATCTCCCAAATGCTAGAATTATAAGCATGCATCACCATAGCTATTTATGTGGTTTATGTAGTGCTGAATATCGGACACAGGGCTTTGTTTTGCTAAATAAACTTTCTACCCAGTGAGCCACATCCTCAGCCTTGACCTTTGCTTCTTTCTTCTCTCTCTCTCTCTCTCTCTCTCTCTCTCTCTCTCTCTCTCTCTCTTTCTTCCTGAGACAAGGTTTCCCAGTGGCTATGGAGCCAGTCCTGGAGCTCAATCTGTAGACCAGGCTGGCCTTGAATGCACAGAGATCTGCCTGCCTCTGCCTCTGGAGTACTAGGATTAAAGGTGTGTGCCCCCACTGCCCAGCCTGACCTTTGTTTCTTAAGTGACTAATCAACATAGAAAATGTTAGTGGTTTTTACCACTAACAAAAAAAAAGTAAAAGCTCTAAATAAACTTTCTTTTCTCTAGCTTTCCTTTGCAGCTAGAAAATGGTCAAGCTATGGAATGTACAGTAGCTCAGTATTTTAAGCAAAAGTATAGTCTGCAGCTGAAATACCCCCATCTTCCATGCCTTCAAGTGGGACAAGAGCAAAAGCATACATACTTGCCCCTTGAGGTAAGTCAACTGGAATTTCCTTTTGCCAATATCTTGAATTAATTTTTCTTTTAAAAAGAAGTATTCATTCCTTTAATTCCACATCTGGGGAGGCAGAGGCAGGTGGATCTCTGTAAGTTTGGGGCCAGCCTGGTCTACAAAGTGAGGTCCAGGACAGCCAGGGCTACACAGAGAAATCATGTCTTGAAAAACAGACACACAGTCTTCTAAACTAGTGGTAGAATTTAGTCTTTTTGAAGTATTTTGTGCATAGAACTTTCTAATATAACTCCCTTTTCCCCCTGGAATGGACAAAGACTTCATGTGTAGAAGCCCGTTTCAACAAAACCTAGCTTCTCTTTGTCTCCCTGCAGGTCTGTAATATAGTGGCAGGACAGAGATGTATAAAGAAGCTCACAGACAATCAGACATCTACAATGATCAAAGCCACAGCGAGATCTGCTCCTGATAGACAGGAAGAAATCAGTAGACTGGTCAGTAAGACATGGCCTTCAGATTAGCCTGCTGTGAGATAAAAAACAAAAGAATAAACAATCCCAAGGGAACATAGTTCCTGTTTGGTTTATATGCAGGCTTTCACATCCCTTAGGTGAAGAGCAATAGCTTGGTGGGTGGACCTGACCCGTACCTGAAGGAATTTGGGATTGTTGTCCACAACGAGATGACGGAGCTCACAGGCAGGGTGCTTCCAGCTCCAATGCTGCAGTATGGAGGCCGGGTAAGCTGCTTCCACACCACTCCAATTAAAAAAAAAAAAAAAAAAAAAAAAACCACGCACCTTTGAATTTAAATTTACCTGCAGTTGTGCTCATTATTACCTTCTGTCTTCTGACTGTAGCAAATAAAGTTTTGTTTGTTCCCTCTTCACCACAAAAATGGTCTTAGATTGTAATATCTTTTCTCTTTTCTTTTGTTTCTTTTTTGTTTTTTTTAAAGAATAAAACAGTAGCCACACCCAACCAGGGTGTCTGGGACATGCGAGGAAAGCAGTTTTATGCTGGCATTGAAATTAAAGTTTGGGCAGTGGCTTGTTTTGCGCCTCAGAAACAATGTAGGGAAGATTTACTAAAGTGAGTATCCCATTTTCAGCCCAGTAATGCTCCTTCTAGATACAAAATACCATCTTTATGTCAATGTGCTGGGCACACTGGCACTGACCCTTGGTGCCCATAATAATGCTGTCTGAGTCTGCAGAAGAGACCCTATGCTCTATTGTAAATCTGAGGATTCTTTGAGAATCCGATTCAGCTTCCACATACTTAGAATAGGAATTTGTGAGTAATGAGGCTGAAGCAATGCTATTTAGGGAAATTCTTCAGTTCTTAGGAGTTTCCATTGGTGTACATCTTTTCAGGTAAAAATAAAAATTAGTCTGTTTCTGGCAATTATAACTTAGTAGTGACCTTGTTTGCTGTAGGAAAGCTGTCTAAGAGCATCATGCACCTCTTAGAGATACAGCTTCTGTGTAAGGAAGTCCAAGAGAAGGGGAAAGAAAATCAGGAAAGCAGAACTGGGGTGGGAAAAGAATCCTACAAGATGTTGGCAAATACACAAAATAAGTTATGTTGAGGCTAGGTATGGTGGCACACACCTTTAATCCCAGCACTGGGGAGGCAGAGGCAAGTTGGAACTCTGTAAATTTAGGGCCAACCTGGTCTACACAGCAAATTTCAGGCCAGCTAGGGCTAAATCACAAGACCCTGATTTATGCACAGATTGAAATAACGTCTTAAGTTCAAATTTTAAAACTTCAAAATGAAAAAAAATAATGTTGAATTTCTTGAACCAAACCTGTTACAAATTTGTTTCCAATTCTAACCTTATGGACTCGAGGATTGCATATTCATGTGTTCCCAGCTGAATACAAGCTCACCTCCTCTTCTTTTCCTAGCCTTATCAAATTATGTTACCTAAAACTATGACCCTCTTTTTTTTTCAATTTTGAATCACCTACTTGATTTTTAAAAAAATCTTTTGAATATAAATGCTATTCTAGTCCCTGAATCTCAATAATTTTTTAGAAATTCAAAATGGAGTTTGAGATAAAGCTTAATGGTAGAGTGCTTGCCTAGCATATTTAAGGCCCTGGGTTTAATTTCCCGTACCACAAAAAATAGTAATAAAAATTCAGATTGATGATTTGGTAGTTTACTAATACAGATTGTTCTGATACAGTTGTGGTGGCACAACTGCCAGTCTATTTTTGGCAACTGCTGAAAGAGCTTTTGTTTGTTTGCTTACGTGTGAAATTGAAAGCACTGTGCCACTGGTTCTGTCTTAACAGGAGTTTCACTGACCAGCTTCGTAAAATCTCCAAGGATGCAGGGATGCCCATCCAGGGTCAGCCATGTTTCTGCAAGTATGCACAAGGCGCAGACAGTGTGGAGCCCATGTTTAAACACCTAAAAATGACATACGTGGGCCTGCAGCTAATAGTGGTTATCTTGCCTGGAAAGACACCAGTATATGGTATGAACCTTTTTAATGTTGAATGAGGGGTGATTTCAAGTCCTAGGTTTGACAGGATAAGCTAGGTGATGCCTCAGTCCCAACTCGCCATTCTCTGTGGTCTAAGCCGCAGAGACTACCAGTGTGCGTGGAGGAGACAGACAGCTCAGTGCTAGAGTGTTTTGCTTGGGGAGAAATGGCACGACAACACTTTCTAGTTTACTTCTCTTTGCCCCCCTTCCCTTCCTGCCCTTTCTCTCTTTCTTGTTGAGACAAGATCTTATGTCAGTCAGGCTGGTCTTGAACTCATTCTGTGGTAGAAAATGATCTTGAACTTTGAATTCTACCTCTACCTCCCAATACTCAGATTCTGGGAATGAACCTCTACACATGATTTATGTGGTGCTGGGGATTGAACCCAGGGCTTCATACATGATAGGGAAGTACTCTATCCACTGAGCCACATCCAGACCACGATTTATTACCTGTTCTTCTTTTGTGTCTGTTCACGATAGACAGTGGCCTCTGTTCCATATAGCCACATCATCCTCACTCCAAGACCCAACTTGGTAGAGCAGACACTGTTTACAAGGTTGCTGCCACCAGGCTTTTCTCTCTGCATCTGCGTACAACCAGCCACGAGGCCTTACCCAGCCTACTGGGATGAGGTGACTAGACGTGGGGGCAGGAAATGCTGTGTAGGCCTTCCATAGTGCAGGGAACTGGAATAAGTAGAATATGGTAGTGAAAAACAGGATATCAGAGTGGGGAGAATAGACATGAGTGGGGGTGCTGCTGCTTCTAGAAGATGGTGTACTTAGTTTATATCTGCTGTTAGAAGAGGGACTCAGGGTTCTTCTCTTGGTTACCCACCAAGTAAAGACTGCAGACCAGCCCTTAAGCTTTTGTCAAACACCCCCAACCCTCTATCTTCTTCTTTTGTAACCTCCTATTTATTGCTTATGTTTCGAAAAAGAGAAAGTAAAATTCAAAAGGCTGGTGTGTGCTCTGAGGAGGAAGGAGCCAGGAGATTTTTACCAGACTAGTTCTGAGGAGAAGAAACCTCAAGGGATCAAGCAAGTGGTGGCAGGCAGCACCTGAAGAATAAAGGAAGTGGGCTGGCTTCCAGAGCTGCAGCAAGTCAGGAAAGAGAAGGCTGCTCAGAGGGTTTAGCAGACAAAAGTGCTGGCACTTGATATCTGCACCTAGCACTCTGTGATTGGTGAAAGTTAATGTTTAGGACTCTTTCCTTAACTCATATTAGGTGATTAAGCATTTTAAAGGGAACTAATTTATTGACTTATTTTATAGCGGAGGTGAAACGAGTTGGAGATACCCTTTTAGGTATGGCCACACAATGTGTCCAGGTCAAAAATGTTGTCAAGACCTCACCCCAAACCCTTTCCAACCTTTGCCTGAAGATAAATGCAAAGCTTGGAGGAATTAACAATGTACTTGTACCTCATCAAAGGTAAGGCCATGATTTGTTTTTCATACTTTTATTTAAAATCTAAATTACATGATTTATGATAAAGGGCACAACTTCCAGCCAGATATGGTGGTACATACCATTACTTTTGGGTAAAGTAAGGCAGGAGAATTGTGAATTCCAAGTCAATCACATAGCAAGACCTTGTCTCAAAAAAAGAAAAAGGAAAGGAAAGATAGAAAAAGAAAACCAAGGATTTAGTTGGGTGTGGTAGTTCATATTTTAATCCCAGCACTCAGGAATCTGAAGCAGGCCAATGGCTATGAGTGTCAGGCCTGCCTGATCTACATAGTGAGCTCCAGGCCAGCCAAAGCTATACAGTGAGACCCTGTCTCAAAAACAAAACAAAACTAAGGTCTGAGATGTAGCTGAGTGGTAGAGCATTTGCCTAGTGTATTCAGGCCCTGGATTCCATTCCCACCAGTGAATGGAAACCAATAAGCCAAACATGTCAAATACACAACTCAATGACTGTTTCTATATAGTGTGTGTAATCCCAGGTAGCACCACCAGAGAGATTTAGAGCATTTCCAGATTCTACCAGGCTTTCTCTCCCCACTCTAAATAGGTAATTCCCAGAGCCAGGACTGTATCTTATTGTCATAATGCCCTTTATGTGAAACCCTTAGTTACCTACAAACATATAATTCCAAAAGAAACTGCTCTTCTGACCTGCTGGTATAGATTGGCTTTCTCTGTTGACCTTCCTATAAATAGAATCACTGGTGCAGTGTGCTCTATTTTGTCTGTCTGTCTTCCTTCCTTCTTTCCTTTCTTCTTTCTTCTTTCTTAACTCTGTCTGTCCTGGAACTCATTCTGTAGATCAGGCTGGCCTCAAACTCACAAAGATCTGCTCCTGGCAGCACCAATCTACTTCAGAGATGATGGGCATCAAAGAAACTCCACATGGAGTTTACTTTCTTTGTGGCAAAAGTCACTGGGCAAGGAAGTGCTCTTGCCTCAATTACTGATGGTATGCTGTCCAAATTGGACAAGCAGAGCACAAAAGACAGTGACAACAAAACCTTGTCAAGACAAGGTGGGACAGTCCTTCAAAAATCCTGCTTCACAGAAAAGTCTGTAGGATATGCTAGGCCTGTAGTCCTAAAATGGGTGCCTCACCATTTCAGAGGAACTTTGGGTGACTATCCAGGCAGCCAGTTTTTGTCATTTCTCGCGTTTTTTGGAAGTCACTTGCTCACACTTCTTGCTTACTCAGTTAATATTATTTCCTTCTTGGGTCTCTGAGGGAGTTGAAGACTAGATAGTTATAGTTTTCCTTATTTACCAGACACAGAAAAGAAACTCATTGGAGGGGTGGGTATAAGGCTTAGAGATACAGAAAGATAGTTTTGGATGGTAATGCAAGTTATGATAGAAAGTAAATTAGGTACAAGACTTTGAACTCACCAAGATAGGATAGATAATGGAGCATTTTCTCTGAATTTGTCAAATGCAAATGGACTAGATAGTAATGTACTTATTGCCTGTATATATTATATATATTGTACTTACTGTATATAGTTTTCCTTCCTTTCTTTTCTTTCTTTATTACTTTCTCTCTTTCTTTCTTTCTTTTTTCTTTTTTCTTTTTTTGGTTTTTCAAGACAGGGTTTTGCTGTAGTTTTAGAGCCTGACCTGGAACTAGTTCTTGTAGACCCCGCTGGCCTTGAACTCAAAGAGATTTGCCTGCCTCTGCCTCCTGAGTACTGGGATTAAAGGCGTGCACCACCACCACCTGGCTATATAGCCTTCTTTTTTATTTTAGACAAAAAGGGAAAATGTAGTGATGTTTTGTTTGTATTTTAACAAATAATGCTTACTTGAAGATCAGAATGCAGAGCTAAGCCACTAGAGACCAGGGAATAGTGGCACACACCTTTAATCCCAGGATTCAGGAGACAGAGGCAGAGGGATCTCTCTTAGTTCAAGGTCACCCAGGGCTACACAAGATTGAGTCTGTATAAAAGAGAAACAGAGCTCACACAAAAGTGATCCCAGCATTTGGGATCTCATGCCTTTAATTCCAGTACTAGGGAGATGGAGACAGGGAGTGATATAGTTGGGCAGCGAGAGGAATATAAGGCAGGAGGAGAGAGAAGCTCATTGTAGTCTGAGGTTTGGTGGAGACAGATGTAGTCTGAAGCAGTCTGAGGAGCAGTGCAGTCTGAAGACAGGATCACCCCTTCGCTCTGAGCATTGGTAGAGATAAAAGGTCTCTCTAGTGGATGACCCCACTGCTTCTCTGATCCTTCAATTTTCACTCCCTAATATCTGACTCCGGGTTTTATTTATTAAGACCAATTAGAATTTGTGCTACAGAGATCCACCTACCTCTGTCTCCTGAGTGCTGGATTATAACATGAGGGCCGGCTTGTTGGGGTTTCTGTCCCTCCCAGTACCCCAACAGCCGGCAAGCAACAAAGAAAAATCACACACAAGACTCTATAAGGTTATAAACTGATTGGTCCATTAGGTCAGGCTTCTTGTTAACTCTTATAACATATATTACCCCATTATCCTTATCTGTGTTAGCCACATGGGCTCAGTACCTTTCTCAGTGTGACAGCTTACATGTTGCCTCTTCGGTGGTCTGCACCCACACTGGATTAAAGGGGAGCACCACTCTGCCTGTTTTATCTCCTTTTTCTTAACATTGTAGTTATACAATCCACTTACGTTGCTGCATTTAATTATTTTTAATTGCTATGGATTATTTTCTTGTGTAGATAAAAATCATATAATTCTGTCTGTTCTTTGGTGGACAGTATATATTCATTGTAAAGTTCTACAGTATTATGTATTATGGAGGTAAGCATTGTTTCTCTTGTGCGGGATGCTGTGTGGAATTGCTGGATTATAGAAAATGGAGTTATGGAGAATACATAAATTTAGCCTTAATAGATACAGTCAGGTATTTTTCCAACCTGTCTGTAACAATTGATATTTCTACTGAGAGGTATAGTCATTCCATATCTTTATCACTACTTGGCAGTACTTTTAATTTTAGACATTTTTATTATAAGAAATATTATCTTACTATTATTTCAATTTGCTTTCCCCTGATTAGTGATAGTAAACATGTTTGGGTTTGGATTTAATTTGGGGGCATCTTCTGTAAGGAGCTAGTTCAATCCTTTTATCTATCTATCTGTCTGTCTCTGTTATGGGTTATTGTTGTTGGTTGTTTTTTTGTTTTGTTTTGTTTGCTTTGTTTTGTTTTTTTGAGACAGGGTTTCTCTGTGTAACAGCCCTTGCCTTCCTGAGACTGGCTCTGTAAACCAGGCTGGCCTCAAACTCAACAGCAATCCACCTGCCTCTTATATATTTTTTAAATTATGTACACATGTGTGCAGGAGGTGTTATCACGTGCACATGAAGGCACCAGTACAGGTGCTCACAGAGGCTAGCGATGTCAGATCCCCTTGGAGCTGCAGTTATAGGTGCTGTAAGCTGCCCAGTGTGGATGCTAGGAACCAACTCAGATGCTCTGGAAGAGCATCTACCATCTTGACCCCTGACCATGCCCTTTCTCCAGCCTCTGGTACACCTTAGGCTTGGAATTTGATCTTGTATATTCTTTATCATCTTATGTCTTTTAAAAAATTTATTTATTTGTTGAGACAAAGAGTTTTTATGTAGATCAGATTGGCCTAGAACTCAAAACGTACCTGCTTAGGTAAGCCTTAGCAACTGTGGGTATATGCCATCATGTCTGGATCATGTTCTTCCTTTTGAGATTGTGTTTCATATTATCTTAAGTTGACCTTGAACTGGACTCTGCAGAGCTGAAGGTGATCTTCAACTCCCTGTCTTCCTGCTTTCACCTCCTGACATGAGTGTTGACTTATAGATACCACTATACATGGATTTTTTGTCTATCTTTCACCAGAAAAGCGTTCATATTTCTTTTGATTCCACAGATAGAGGAATCAGTGACACAGAATGAATTTGTGTTTTCAACAGATGTTTACCAAGTGCCAAGTATGAGCTAAGGAATGTTCTAGGTACTAGTAATGACCAAGATTTAATAAAATTCCTACTCTTGTAGGGATTATATTTGTATGGGTCTGTGTGTGCAAATAAAATAAATAAGCAAAATATATGATATAAGTGATACATATGTATAAAATAAAACAAAAAATGAATTTGATTCTCTCTTTTAAATTTCACAATTTAAAGAGATTTGGGTTTTGGAAGGTTCGTGTTCTTTCCTAACGGGCATAGGCCCTCTTTTCTAAGATGACAGTTATCTTAGTGATATATTTTTCTAGACTCAAAGATTTGTACCCATATGTTTTGAGTGGCACTGTTTTCTTAAATCTGGACAGGCCTTCAGTGTTCCAGCAGCCTGTCATCTTCCTGGGAGCAGATGTCACTCATCCTCCTGCTGGGGATGGGAAGAAGCCTTCTATTGCAGCCGTGGTGGGCAGCATGGATGGCCACCCTAGCCGGTACTGTGCCACAGTGCGGGTGCAGACGTCTCGGCAGGAGATTGCCCAGGAGCTCCTCTACAGTCAGGAGGTTGTGCAGGACCTGACAAGCATGGCTCGGGAGCTGCTGATTCAGTTCTACAAGTCCACACGTTTCAAGCCCACTCGCATCATCTACTACCGTGGAGGGGTGTCAGAGGGACAGATGAAGCAGGTGCTCCCATCAGCCCCATGCCCTCCTCCCAGCATTCTTCAGTTTGCTGCTTGAAAACTGAGACCTCCATCAAACAAAATTCCCCTTCTGTCTCCTAGGTAGCTTGGCCAGAGCTAATAGCAATTCGAAAGGCGTGTATAAGCTTGGAGGAAGACTATCGACCAGGAATAACCTACATTGTGGTGCAAAAGAGACATCACACACGCCTCTTCTGTGCAGATAAAACAGAAAGGGTAAGAAGTCGTGCTGAGAGCTTCCTCTTCTGACTGTGTGGCAGTGACTGTGGTTTTGAGTAGATGTAGACAGTGAATTTCTCTGAAACTGGCTGTGTCTAATGGTAATTTAGTAACTAAGTTGAACTTAGATGACAAGTTCTGGATAACAGGAGTTTTAAGAATGAATGCTTCTTGCCGGGCAGTGGTGGATTTGGGAGATAGAAGCAGTAGTCTTTATGAGTTTGGAGCCAGCCTGGCTAATGAGAGAGTTCCAGAGAGCCAGGGCTATACAAAGAGACCTGTCTCAAAAAACAAAACAAAGCTAAAACAAAAACAAAACAAAAAATCTGAAATTTAACTTATTTAGAGACTCCATTACAGACACGCCCAGAGATTTGTCTCCTAGGTGATTGTAGACCTTGTCAGTTGGCAGTCAGCACTGACCATCAGGACTGTTTGTGCAGTGCTGAGGGGTGGTGGCTAGAAGAGACGTGTCAGGTACATTACAGTGTAATACATGAAAATGGAATGCTGTGTGTGTTTTCCTGGACATCAAACCCAGGGCTTCACATGTGTTTTTTGCTCCTTTTTACTGCTAAAGCATGAGTGATAGTTCTAGGGTGTAAAGCAGAATGTCCTTAGTGACTTGGAATGGCTATGGTGTCATACTTATTAACCACACGCAAGAGACTTCACTTCTCTAAGCTACATGAAAACTTATAATTTGACTTAGGATTTTTCGTTCGTGTGTGTGTGTGTGTGTGTGTGTGTGTATTTATTCATTTGTATGTCTGTGTGAGTGTTTGAACATGTGAATGTGTGTAGGTGCAGACATAGAGGCCAGAAGAAGGCATCAGTGTTCCCTTCTATTTGCCTCTGCTATTTCTTGTGAAGCAAGCAGGGTCTTTCCCTGAACCTGGGACTTATATTTTCTTGGCTAGAAGCTGGTGAACCCCAGTGTTCTTCTTGTCTCTGGTACCCTTCAGACCCGGTGTTACAGGCATTTACTGGGACAGTTGTTTTATGATGTGGGTGCTGGGATCCAAACTTCAGTCCTCAGGATTGTGAAGCATGTGCTCTTACACACTGAGCCATCTCTCCAGCTCCAGGATTTGGAATTGCCAATTTGATGTTACTGTAAAATCAGTCTGCATTCTGTAGTAACTGCTCTTTAAGTTTTGAATTTGTTCATGTCCTGGAAGGCAATAGGCAGTACAGTATTCTCTCGCAATGCAGCTACCCTCACATGAGTAAACAGTCAATAGTCTACAGTGTACTAAACTGCTTAACTGTGATATTCAGAAGGGCATATGAATTAGGTGAATTTTTGTTTATGAAAATTGTAACTTATAATGATCTTATTGGGTATAATCCTTTCATAAACTGAAGACCATTCTTACCTGTAAATTGTGATGATGAGGGGCTGGAGAGATGGCTCAGGGGTTAAGTGCACTGACTGTTCTTCCAGAGGTCCTGAATTCAATTCCCAGCAACCACATAGTGACTCACAACCATCTGTAATGAGATCTGGTGCCCTCTTCTGGCCTGCAGGCATACAAACAGACAGAACACTATAGTATACATAATAAATAAATAAATCTTTAAAAAAAAATGTGACGTGAACAACATCTAGGGACAGTGGTTACACAGCTGCAGTTCCAGCATTTGGGAGGATGGAGTGGACGATCATGAATTGCAGGCTAGTCTGAGTTATCCTGTCTCAAAGGAAAAGCAAGTGCTGGAGATGTAGCCAGCATACTGAAAGCCCTGTGTTCAGTTCCTGGCACATAGCCTCAGTGAAATAGCATGTCCGAGGCCTGCTTAGGCCACATGAGATGCTGTCTAAAGAACAAAACACAACAAATAAAAATAGAATATATTTCATGAAGTATGGTGAAGAGTAAATTAATAAATGAGTGTTAATTTGGGATATAATTCCCAGCACTTGGTAAAGAAAATTTTCTATTGATTTTATTTATGATTTGATATTTATGTTTAAAGTGGGTAAGCTATAAGAATATTAGGTTGGATGACCTCTTTTTTACTGTTTCTCGTGACATTATTTCATCTTGTCCAGGCATAGCAAGGACCAGATCTTTTCTGTTGCTTAATCATGTAAACTTGCTGGCTCCTCCAGTTATTTTCTAGGACAAAAACTGTCTCTTTTCCAAGGATGAGATGTTTATTTTCATTTTGTCAATTGCAAGAGATCCAAGTTCTTTTCCCTACAGTCCCCAGATCTACTAGTCAGTTTATATTAAATTTTTGTTCACTAATTGTTCTACTCTGACTCAGTAGTAGTTCTTAGATTTTGATAATACAGATTATCTGAGTGCTTGCCTAAAATTGAAGCAGAAAATACCCTGTCACCCATCTTTTATTGTCATGACTTCCCCTTTGCTCTACTGTAAACTTGCCATCCATGCAGTTCACTGTGGAGTGGAGAGGAAATCCAGGACCTGGGTGATCTACCACTACTCCCAGTGCTGGAAATGGAGCTCGGGGCCTCAAATATGGTAGGAAGCAGTTTACTGCTGAGCTTTCTCCAGACCCTGAATTATCTTTCTCTCCTACAGCTCTCTTCTTTACCATCATTCAGGATTGAAGGTTCCAATTCTTTAATAACTTTATACTCTGACCAGTATCTCCAATTCTCCGAACATGCCTCTTGCCTGCCTCCAACTCTGAACTATATCTACTTGCTTATTTACTTTGCTTCACTCTCAGGCTGATGGGAATTGCTGGCTGAATAAATCACTTGTTTAGTCGTGAACCATGTTATAAACACATGAGAGCAAACCTTAAACCTTAAATGCTGTGATTTTTTTTCATTGCTTTATTTCCCGTAAGTGTTGGTCCCTATCCTTGGTGTCTTAATGCTAATAAAGACCTATTCTCTGCACTGACAGTACTGTGGTGATCACAACTGTCTTCCAAATCCTACCTTCTGTTTTCTGGGAAGATGGGACCTGGAAGGCATGGATTTTCTCAGTTACCTATCCTCTCCTTTCCAATGTGATTCTGTGCTTCTTTTGTCTCCTTCCTCAAATCTCAGGCTAATCTCCCTATCTGTGCTTTTTGACTCCAGTTCTCTCTGCCTTCTCTAGAGCCTCACTCACTTCATAAAGACTCCTTTTTTTAGTTTTAGTCTTCCTCATTCTTTTCAAAAATTTAAATTGTATTTAATTAATGAGTTAATTGAGAGAGAGAGAGAGAGAGAGAGAGAGAGAGAGAGAGAGAGAGAGAG